ATATTTTTATATAGGTTGTATGCAACTCTTCAGTTCGTGTGTATGTAACTGAACTCCGCCTAAACGGACGGACAGAGTTTGATAAATTTTTTTGTGTCTTTGAGTGGGTTCCTGGATGATTCAGAACCACAATTGGACCCAGTAGGTCAATAAATGAAGCTGCAGTTTACTATAAATTGTAAACAAATTTAAAAAGATAAGTTTTTTTAGATTATTTAAAAAGAATGTGGATGTTTAGCCTTTGTACAGTTAAGATTTTTTTTATTTCCTTTAGTCATATATTTTTGTTTAATGATATGGTATAGATATGTTAATGCGATCAGTAAAGTACCTTACAGTGATGTCAATCATTATATAATTATAAAAAAAAGATGATCGTCATCGTATTTTTTTCTATGACAATAATGTGTAAAATACATAATTTTTTTTCGAAGAAGACATTTCTTATTTCAACTGATCCACATGTGATAATAAATTAATGTACAGTATAGACATGATACAAACTACCGTAGTAGTTATTAGTACCTTAACCCAGAAATCACTAGACTAAGCGGCGTCCCGTGGTGTATTTCCGGCGATTGTGTTGTATCGCGGCCGCGTCTGAAGCCTGTCGCCGCGTCCTTTAATTGATTCACTGACGGTCTTAGTTAATTCCTACTTTATGACGAATTCAATAAATGAAAAACAAATTTAAGCAACACACGGTTTAAGGACATCTTGAAATAACTTTCAAATACAGGTACAATGAGTAGTATTTCGTGTTGTACCTACCTATATGCAATAAATAATTCTCTGTTATAATATATTTTAAATTATGATTATAATACTTCGTACAGGTTCAGGTCTAAGCTAATATAGACTAAACGTAGTGATTTATATTCTCTTTACTACCGAGATGATTCGCAGACATTATGAGAAATCTTTTCTCTTTTAGAAAAACGTTATCACAAGAATTTTCTCCTGTATCGTGGAGCCATACAAATACTTGTTTCGTGCGGGATTCGAAACTGCGGCCCTCAGCGGTGCAACTCATTGCTAAGCCACTGCGCCACGGAGTCACAATGTTTAGTTTAGAAAACAGCTGGCAGAGCCTGCTCTATTTTCTAATGTTTTGAAGCAAGGAACTTTAATAGCTCTATAGAACCCTCAGATCATAGTTGTTTCTATGATCTGAGATAGAGCCTTTGTAGAATATTTTTGTTAGCCATATTATCATCTCAGCCTATCACAAGTTCACTACTGATCAAACTCATTTCATTACTAAAGTGTTATAAAATACAGTGGGCATTTCTTCTTTAAATGTTTAATAACAGCAAGTGGCAAAAAATCAGCTTTAAAACCAAACTAGGTTGTTCTACGCACCTCTTTAAAGTCATTAAAACCAATTATTACATAATACAATTTTTTTGCACAAATCCCATTCCAAAGTGCAGGGATAGTGGGGTAGTTCAGATTTTTTAATACATAAGTGACGACAATATCCATTGGATTTTCTACTTGAAGAATAACATAATAAAGTTATGATTGCCTTGCAGTGTTAGTGGTGAATTTGGTAAGTGGCAAGATATTTGTCATTAGATCACGTATGGCAGTGCCAAGGTATCAACGGTGGATGATGGTGTGAAACGAGTGGTCGCCGGCGCCTTTGATCCACCCGCCCGGTACCGTTTCGTGCGGCCCAGTTTTTGTTGCACTCGTTTAGGACGGGTCTATGTTTTTTGTATGTTGTTTGTAATGCCGAGTGTGTGGGACTTGACACGTAGGTAACTATTGTTAATTTCATTCCTGTTTGTTATTGTCGTGTCCCAGCTTTGTAATAAGCTGTTTGTTAGGCGAATCAGTCTTTATTTGGTTAACTGATCCCATTTTGTATGGTTTCCGATCTATTTAAAGTTTGTAGAAAGAAATAGCGTTGTTTTATTTTTATTATATAAATGAATTCGTTAAAACTAAAAGATTATAAAAATATTTATACCTTACTATGTCAATAGAGCTATTTATGCTGCAGCTAGGTATATTTTGTTTGTAGCCCGAATGAGTCGGCTCGACCGGTGAAGGAGCATCTTGTAAGTAGAATTGATTTTCCCTAAATAGTAGGTACTAGGAGTTTCTGATAATTACCTACATTTAACGCTTTTCGTCACTATTCTTGAACAGACCTAAATATCTGAGCAACAAATATGTTTTCACATTGACGGCTGGAACACAGTTTATACTAGTATGGCCGTCAACGCTAACTTATAATACATAAGTGTAATTTGTCAAACTGAGAGTCTAATAAATTATTATTATTATTATTCCCTTTGTCAAATTACCAAGTACGAAATCCAATCGAATATTCAGTATTAAATTCTGAGATTTATGCAACTTAGTGTCTACGAGCTCTGTTGCTTAGGTATGCTTTTTTACATTACAAACTTATTTTTTTTCCTATGTCCTATTAAAGACATGCTTAGTGTTTTGACGGTACTTAATTAATCCGTTTAAGTAAAGTAACTAAATACTTTTCACTCTATTGAACAAATCTTCTTTAATATCTAAAAGGTTTGTGGAGCAGAAAGAGGGCGTGACGCTCTAGTGTTAGCGATGGTGTTGACGGATCTTATACATCCTGGAAATACTCTAAAATTCTCGGATGGTATTCTCATTTTGCTTCATTCAGTACATAGTGCCAAAAGGATCGAAGTTGGGACAGTGTGTGGAGAATACTATTACATATAGGACAAGCGTCCCGTTCCTGTACCTGTACTTTACCTTACCGTGTAGTGGCGGTGCAAGAATATCCACTCCCCCATATCATCTAGTGGGTGGCGAAAGATGCGACAGAGGAAAACAAATCAGGAGATGGGCAACAGCGTCTTACTAATAACGACTAAAAATAAAAAAACTGCAGTTGCAAACTCGCTTGCCAAGCGTGGCAACTATGGCAAATATCCCCCTTATGAAGAAATCTATTGGCTAGGCCAATGTTCAGCAGTGGACTTTAATAACGGACCTGTTCCTGAGTTAATAGTTTTAAATATATAAAGAGTTCGTTTTAATTAACCGGACGTTGATCGACGTGTCGAGTTAATTGTTTCATGTTCTAGCACTCTTAAATCCAACATTTAGTAACAACGCGAGGAAGTGAACGTTGCCGATGTCCATTAAGCAAATTGTTGGCGAATTTGTGTTAGTCACTCTCGAACGATTTATTTAATGTTTGCACGCGAATAGTTTATTATATACACAATAGTGTATCGACTATCGATTATTGGAATGAAACATTTGCATAAAAATGTATATTATCATTATTTAATTGCTCGGTGGTTGCGATACTTATCGACTTTCGAGTGATAAAACTGTGATTGAATTCAGTTTCTATTGAATTTTAATTATTTTTGTGTTTATATTGCCTGATTGATTCTATATTTTAGAAATCACCGGTACTTTTATAAACTTTTTGGCAGGCATACATTTAAAAAACGTATCTACTAATGTTACTCTTGCAGTTATTTTTATGCCTGTAAAATATTGTCGATTTTCAACAGTACAAGTTACTGTAAAAATGTATAATATTCATTAGTAATAAAAAGTGCACTAACATAGTGCATACACTCCTCTGCCGAGTATAGGCCTCCTTGCATTTCTGACATGCCCCAGTGCGTGTTGGCGGCTTCACATCATGTCATGTGGCACATGCAGGTTTTCTCGCGATTTTTACTCACTGACGATATTTTATTGTGCTGATGGGGATCGTATATAAACCATATACGGCTCGCACATTAAACATGATTTCAACAAGGTAAAAAATTCTATCAAATACATCAGCCGTAGGAAATGTAAGTAGATCTTCTAATTGTTTCACACTTTTTTTTATAGGATAGGGTGACAAATGAGTTATGATCAATAAAGATTCAAGATGCAGATGCGTTGTCACCCGTGAGGACTAAGATGGAATGCCTCTTTTCCAGTAAAAAGGGTCACCGGTTCTCTACACTCACCATACGAAACACAGCAGCGTTAAGCTGCTATTTTACTCTGGTTTTCTGTGAGAGCGTGGTCCTTCCCCGGTCGAGCCGAACCATTCGTGCTACAACTATACTACTAATGTAGCTGCAGCATGGCTCTACCACGTAAAAAACTAACTAACATCTAACACTTAGTATAATAAAAATGGTTATATAGATATAAATTATTTATCATCATGGATTCGCAAAATTTTTAGTTCCATACCTAGACCTGACCATGAATCTCAAACGACAAAATATTATACATCTGTTACTGCAATTGACAAACATACAATAGTAGATGCGTTGTCATTGTCATACTTTCCACCATGTAATTAAATTGGCTTTTTAACCGACTTCAAAAAGGAGTAGGTACTCCATGCGACTGTTTTTCATGTGTTTCCTCAGAACTTTTTACTAGGTGAACCGATTTTGATGATTCTTTTTTTATTCGAAAGCTGGTGCTTCTCATATGGTCTCATATATCAAGATCGGACCAGTAGTTTTTGAGTTATCCTTAATAATGCATATTTAATTGACTTCGACTACATAAAGATGTTGTCATTTTATTTATATTAAAGTCGGGTGTACAAACTTTTTTTATTTTTTTTATAGAATAAGGGTGACAAACGAGCACAAAGCCCACCTGATGGTATATATACCCAAAACAAACGAGCACAAGCCCACCTGATGGTATACATAGTGGTTGCTGTGGCCCATAGACATCTACATCTATCTTCGTTTGCTAATTAAAATGCAGATGCGTTGTCAGCCGTGAGGACTAAGATAGAATGCCTCTTTGGCAGTAAAAAGAGTCTATTTTTATCACTTGTTTAATCTGCAAACAAATTTCAGACATTCGTATGATCTTTTGAAAATGGATACCCCTCTTTAAGCAGAAAACCATCAGGAAAAAAGTAAATACTTATCGAAAAAGTGCTGATACGAGGGTGGATTGAAAATTACTCGGCCTAACCAAGAAAATAAACACATACTAAATCAGTTATATTTTTATTTTTCTACATAATCACCATCAAGTTCAATACACTTTTGCCACCTCCCCTTCCAAGCATTTAGACCGTTGAAAAAAAATGATTCTTCCTTAGAGTCAAAATATGCGTCTACAGCTGCTTTGACCTCGTCGTTTGTCGAAAATCTTTGACCTCCCAAGTGCTTTTTTAGGTTAGGGAACAGAAAGAAGTCTGATGGTGCCAGATCAGGTGAATACGGCGGATGCGGTAAGAGTTCAAAGCCACAGTTGTGAATTTCAGCCATTGACTGTACTGACGTGTGAACACGGGCGTTATCTTGATGAAACAGGACTTTTCTTCTGAGCATTCCTCGACGTTTTTCTTTTATTTCCTCTCGTAAACGACGTAGTAAGGTGCAGTAGTAATCAGAGTTTATATTCTGACCCCTTTCAAGATAATCAATCATAATCACACCTTTCGAGTCCCAGAATACTGAAGCCATCACCTTATTTGCCGACAAAATCGACTTAGCCTTTTTAGGGGGTGGTGAACCAGGTCTTCTCCACTGTTTTGATTGTTGTTTTGTTTCCGGTGTACAGTAATGAACCCATGTTTCGTCCATAGTAACAAAACTATTCAAAAAATCATCTGCATCGGCTTCAAATAACTCCAAACAGTCGCATGAAATAGTCAATCGCGTCCTTTTTTGTTCAACTGAAAGCAGTCGCGAAACCCACCTCGCAGACACCTTGTGGAAACCCAACTCGTTGACAATGATGTTTTGAGTTCGTTCATAAGAGATGCCTATAATCTCGGCTATCTCTCTAATTTTTAATCTGCGGTCTCCCATTATTAAATCAAGTACTTTTTTAATATTTTCGTCAGTAGTTGACGTCGAAGGCCTTCCAGAGCGGGGTTCATCTTTCACACTCTCTCTACCACGCTTAAATTCTGCTATCCATTTTTTGACGGATGAATATGACAGAGCACAATCGCCTAATGTACTGACCATGTCATCATGGATGGCTTTTGATGATAGCCCCTTCTTATGGAGGTACTTAATGACGGAACGCTGCTCGATTTGCTCCATTCGCGGAAATTATGTCCGATTACTTTGTTAATAAATTTATAAAATCACAACTAATTATCGCACACGTTTCGAACTTCACACAATGAACTAGTCTGAACTGAACTAAATAATGTGGGTAGATTTGATTTTTAGAATTGAATGGATCTGTGTTAGGCCGAGTACTTTTCAATCCACCCTCGTACCTTAAGTATAATATGAGCCCAACTCGCTCTTGTCCCTTCTTTATAATATTATCGCTGGAGTAGAATTAAGGAAATGATTCAACGACCACGTTTATTTTTTATAATACACAGATGTTTAATTCGAAGTATAATGATGCTGGCATGCTGCACTAAAAGTATAAGCCGCCAAACGACAAATTTAAATCTGAGGTAACACGCGGCGTATACGTTATATTTATTATTGTCACATTAATGTAATCAAAACTTGTGCTACCTGTTGGTTAATTCTCCAATAGCAAGCAAAAGAAGAATAGATGTTAAGCTTCGCGCTGTTTTCCGTTATTAGATAACTGCTGGTTTTAACTACAGTTTACATTATAATATATTTATAGTTATATACTATAAATATTTATCTAGCTCTTTCGATATTCATTATTTTTTTATTTTGTTTTTATTTTATGTTTTTATTGCCAGAAAAGAAAACTTGACTGACCGCCTTCTACAGGCTAAAACTGCTCGAAGTTTTTTGTACGCTTTTTAGGGTAAAGGGAACGCTATTACATACTATCGCAGTGCATGCACTGATGAAAGCCTCTGTCTGCAATATTACCTACTCGCAGAACGCAACATCGCAACGGACGGACTACTGGACACGTATTTATTTAATACGATCAAGTATACCACGTAATGTAAGGTTTATTAAAATAATAATTATAAGAAAAACTCCTCAATTAAAAAAAATATTGAAATTATATAATACTTAAAACATTAGCTTAGTAGATATAATTAAATAAACTTTATTTAACTTTATCCTACGATATTTTATACGAGTAGCTTACTAATATGTTATCCTCAAAGTGAAAACATCAATATATACAAAAAAAATTCAGTTTTTATTTTTATAAACTGATTTTTAAGATAACCCTGCAATATACCGGATGTAACTGGTTAAAAGCTGTGTTTATTTACACATTTCGATGGCGCCTGCTCTAATTTTCTGAGTGTCGTCAATTTTTTCGGTTAAAGTCAAGAATTTAAAATTGTCCCATTAAAAAGCGATTGCGAACAAATAGCTGATATATCTCAACTACCACTTTGCCGCAATATTCCCTTTATAAAATTATAGGAGGCAAAAAACGAAGTCTTAAAAAAGTACCCTGGATGTACTATACTAACAATTTTTAATCTTTATGGTAAGGTATTTTTTTAGTTTTTTTTTTTTAAATAGAATAAGGGTGACAAACGAACGAACAAGTCTATCTGGCGTTAAGTGAATGCTGTGGCCCGTAGACATCTATCCTCAAATTATAATCAAAATGCTGATGCGTTGCCACCCCTGAGGATTATGATGGAATGCCTCGTTTCCACTAAAAAGGGTTCCGGTTCTCTACACTCACCATACAAAACACAGCAGCATGGTTCTACTAAGTATTAATATATTGATATTTGATTGTAATTTATATTAATGATTTCTTATATTTACGCGAACACTACACATTGAATAAAACTATTTTTACGGATTTTATCGCGTTTAATTAACTTATTTTATATTCCCGACGTTTCGGTTGCTTTCCAGCAACCGTGGTCACGGGGACTGGAAAGAAACCGAAACGTCCCCGTGACCACGGTTGCTGGAAAGCAACCGAAACGTCGGGAATATAAAATAAGTTAATTAAACGCGATAAAATCCGTAAAAATAGTTTTATTCAATATAATATATATTATTTTAAAATGAGATGCTACTCGTACATTTTTTCGATTTCGGTTTTTCCCTGTTGGTAGATGTCAGTAGGAGATATAAATAAATAAATAAATAAGTATATAGTTCGGCACGCATTCGGCACGCACTGTTACCCCAGGTTTAAACTTACCGGAAATCCTTAATTAAGTCACATTAATAGAGAATTTGCAATATTATTACATAATATGTCGGAATTCCACGTTTGTCTAGTGGTCGTAAACGGAACTGCTGAACTTGAAGTCCCAGGCTCGAATACGAGAAGTTCTCAGTAGCAGTTCGGAGTCAGGAAATTGACAGAGTTTCATCCCCGTGCTTCGGAAACCACATAGAGCTCTTGGCCCTTCGCCGGATCTCTCTCATAGGACTTTAAGAGTGAGGGAAAGTAGAGTGCACCGGTACTTGCGCGCATATTTTCGTACACTAAAATCCTATCCCTCCCAAATGGCTAGACTAAGTAGACTGGCCGACGAAATTGAAATAATGTCTCAAAGACTATATGTACAGTATAGAGTTCTTAAATGAAAATTCTTTATTGCGCAAATATGTCTTTTATACAAAGGAAAACTTAGTGACAATTACATTCTCTGCCAGCTAACCTTTGGTAGTGTGGTGAGATCTGTGAGTAGGCCAAAATAAAAAAAAAAACACTCATATAGGCAAACATACAAACCCATACATATACACTCACACAGGTATATATATATACTTACTCATAATTTTTAAGTAAAAATCTAGTGTCATCCATCTCACTAATGGTGAAATACGAGAACCAGGTACAGAATTGTCAATCTACTTGTCATGAGTTGTGTAAATAAATCTCACTTGTAGCCTATTACAAGTTGATAATAATGACATATAAGAGAGAGAGAGAGAGACAGAGGGAGAGAGAGAGAGAGAGAACCAAAGTGAAAACATTAACACTTTGCCATAACTGATAACTGAAAATTTAATAATTTTCATTTTTATGCCATAAAGTAAAGTCTTGATCTCATTAAAACATTTTTCGAGAACTCGATTTGATGCAACTGTTTGTAAAAAAGCGCTCGCAATATTTCATTTGTAAGAAAGATTAACCAAAAAAAAAGATTCAAAAGAAAAATGTACGCCGCAGATATTCATGCGGGTAAAGAAATAAATAAAGGAATAAACAACATTAGCAGCTCTTTTGTCGTACGAATACTGGAACCGATTTCGCGTCATTACGACGGACGGAAGATTGATTCCGACACAAAAGCTGTCAACATTAGAGGTTGAATAAAATGCGAATGCAGCGTCTTATTGTTGTTATAACAAAATGAAGTCGTAATGAGTAGGAGTTCGACCGCGGTGCTCGCTCGATTGTGAACGAAATGTTGCACGATTGAATTAAAATTGCCTTAATATTGTGGCTTTAAAACGTTGACATTTGACAAGCGTCACTGACGTCTGTCACCACGCGCGCGGTTCGCGCTTCGCCGGTTGAACGCAATGTACCTACGTTTAATGGATGCGATCATTATTTTATTACATTCGTTTGTTATAGTCGTGAATAAATAAGAAATATAATAATGACATTTATTGTATTTCTTATTATTACATAAACAAAACCTGATTTTTTATTAAAAAAGGAAATTTGAAAATAAATAATAAATAATAAAAATAGTTAGCCTTGGATAGGATTATAAAACTATTCAATCAAACTATTATTCATATTAACCCTTTCGCTGTCCCGTGCACTATATATAGGTCATTGCTATTGTCTTACTATTGTGTCTGAAAACCGGACAGTGAAAGTGTTAACAGTTAGTTACACATTATATTTCTATGAAATTTAACTTTCAGTTCGTGGGTGTCGTCAGAGACGGCAGAGGGTAATATGAAACGGGAGATGGGCGGCAAAATTTCCTGACAAAAATACAAAATAATAAAAAGAAACTGCGGTAACCAACCGTGGCAACTATGGCAAATGGCAAATATCCTATGTGGGGAAGGCCGATGTTAAGCAGTGATCTCTCTTAGCTGTAATGAAAATAAATAAATGAATGCCTTGACTTAAATATTTGAATATTAATTTTTGTTTTTATTTCTCAGTTGTATACTAATATGACGTATAATTAAATTAGGATCTAGGTCCAGGACGCCTCAGGCTACGCCTACATGACTTCGTTAAAGGTTAGGATATTCATTAAGAACCTAACTTTTTGTACCTAAGCGGTCTCCGAACCGGATCATGATCTGTCCCTGCATTACTAAGCGTTAAATCCACAAACCGGAAACTATATTTATAAGTAGTAAATTAAAGCAAGTTAAAGTTCTTTGTCCTACACCTGATCTCCGGTCGTATCGTCCAATCGCACTATGAAAGTGAGGGTACGGTTTTTTTACTCGTGTGGTGAAGGAATGGAGTGCACCTTTGCCTATTTTTTTTTTATAGGATTGGGTGAAAACGAGCACACAATCCACCTGATGGTAAGTGGTTACTGTGACCCATAGACATCTACATCTATCCTCAATAAAGACTCAAGATGCAGATGCGTTGTCACCCGTGAGGACTAAGATGGAATGCCTCTTTGCCAGTAAAAAGGGTCTCCGGTTCTCTACACTCACCATACGAAACACGCTGCTATTTTACGCTGGTTTTCTGTGAGAACGTGGTCCTTCGCCGGTCGAGCCGACCCATTCGTGCTACAACCATAATATAGCTGCAGCATGGCTCTACCACGTAGAAACATTACACACACACTCATGCACTAAAATTTTGACCGGCACGGAAGGGTAGTCTCCGTTGAGACTAGAAATATCGGATACAGATTCCTTAAAAATATTTAGTATATAATATTTATTGGTCTTTTTAATATATTAAGTACCTACTAATGATTTCTTATATTAATGCGAACACTACACATTAAAATTAAAAGCAATTCATTTTACGGATTCTATCCCGTTTAATTTTTTTTTATAGAATTAGGGTGACAAACGAGCACACAGTCCACCTGATGGTAAGTGGTTGCTGTGGCCCATAGACATCTACATCTTCGTTTGCGAATTAGAATGCAGATGCGTTATCAGCCGTGAGGACTAAGATAGAATGCCTCTTTTCTAGTAAAAAAGGTCTTCGG